GGGGGGGGGGGGAGGCGGGGGCATGCAATTGGCAGCCGAAGAGCTGAACAGCTTGGAAGTTTGTTTAGTTCTATTTTCATTTTTTCGTTTTCTATAAGAGTTACGGGGTTTATGCTCATATTAGCCGGGGGAAATCCCCTGCCCCCGGCCTCGACACCCTTTAGCGACTTCCTTCTACCGTCAGTGTGTATATGCTTTGTTGGCTTAATGTACATAAACCTCCCCTATTTTATCCCGTTGAGCACCAAGATCCACAAACAAACTCTCCAGACTAATCTCCGTACATTTCCTACAAGAATTAGCTGAGAAAATTTGACAAAAAATCAAAGCATTTCCCCTTATGATCACTTCACTGATTCACGTACCCTTTTTTCTTGGTGATGTTTGGAGAAAATAATATTGATCATGGTCACTATTGGGACTTAAATACAAACAGTTACAAACCTTAAGCTAAAGTCGTCCTCTGATGCTGGGAAAAGACCAAAAGAAGGCTCTAATTGTATCCCAAGAGACACAGAGGGAGAGTTTGAAGCACTGCTAAATTGTTGTAAGCGAGACCATAGGTCGTTGTATAACCGCAGTAGCTTGGGGTATTCTCCCTCAAATGCTTGCTTCAAGAATGTCGAGGCTAAAAGAAAGGAAACGATACCATTCATTGCTGAACATTTTAGGTATCATGAACACAAGCATAGACAGATCCAACTGACCTTGGGCTGCCTGTGCAAATTCCTGGGTCAAGATTTGTGTCACCGACTCCCAGAAAGAAGTAATAGAAGAACTTCCCTCCTACAAAGAGACAGTTTATAAGGTATTGTGGTTAAATAGCTAAACAGCTTTCACTTTTAATTGGAGTTCATTCACAGACTATCCACCAACGGTACAGTGACCACAGTTTCCGTATATCTACAGCGAAGAACCCCCACGGCGAAGAAACGTCAAGACAGGACACAACGTTACCCTGTGAAAAGTTTCTTTCTGGCGTCGCTTTTAGGATTAAGCATTTATTTTTCGCTTGTCAGTCGCGTAGTCAGTTTATTTACGCCACGAGGGAAACCAAATATGCGACTGACAAGCAATGCAAACGACTTTGTAAATGCTACTGAAAAGCAATGCCAGAAAGGAACGTCTGCTTGAAAACTGATACATGTTTGTACGGCATTAAAGGATCTGGTTTTTGAGCAACTTTGGTCTGGCAACGGGTGTGGAGTTGACTATTGTGGTCTGAAATCGGGCATGGTTTTCAAAGAAAACACCAGGGGGGGGGGGGGGGTTAAACGGGGGTGTTTTTTCGGCTCTATATGAATATTTAATGTGAAATTTAACACATAAAAAAAAAATAGGTCTAAACCGATAGTTTGAAAATAAT